GTACCTGTCTTGGCTTCCGACATTCATAATCCGAACAAAACCCAGAAAAGAATACGAGGCCAACTCTCTCTCTCTCTCTCTATATATATATATTTTATATGTAAATGTGTATATATAAGTATATAATTGAATCTGCACACATGCATACGTATTTGTATATATATACAGAGAGAGTGTATCTGTTTATGGGCCATGTGCGGTCGACAACTCATTTTTTAGCCCTCGACGCAATCACACCTCAATACATAGCCGTATTTTCCCGACGACTTTGATTTTAATATGTTACCTTGTCCAACAGTACACGCGGAATATGTATTCGACTCATTTGGTTTTTCCATTTATCATATCGAAATATTATTTATACACATAAACTTTATTTACAATTATAATACTAAACCTAGTAGAATAAAGATATATAAACACGATTCACCAAGTAGAGCAAATTATATGAGTAAATATTTTTTTTAAAAGTAAAATCATTTTAAACTTTTTTTTTTGATGAAAAATCATTTTAAACTTATAATACGTATTTAATCGAAGTTTAATTTTTACATAGAGAGTTGAAAAGATCTTTAGCGAGGAAAGATATTTTATCTATTGAATTCAAGGAGGTGACATGACGGGACATTATATAGTAAAAAAATATATATATATTTACGTAGACTTAATTTAAATTATCACGTAACCTATAGATTAATAGTCGTCTGTCTGCCCATACTATAATGCTGTGACGTTGAAATCTTACGCCACTTCACAAGCTCCCCCCCCCCCCCCCATCGGGACGTACGAGAGATTCTTTCTTTTACCCTACTCGTCGGTCCAATTTATTTCCCCCAACGATTAATTAACATTTCAACGAAGTTCAGATTGATAACTAACTAGACAAGGATAATATATATACATATATATATATATAGTGTGAGATAACCTCCTTTTTTTTCTAACCCCTGGCAGATTTTGTAGATAAGGTATAGCCAGTAGCGGATCCAAAATTTTTTATAATTGGGGGCGTTGGTATATTTAGTACAATTTTTTTTAGACGGTCCACAAGTGAAAAATAAGCCGGTTCAAAGGAATATCCCGGTACGTCAATTTAGTCTCCCGGTTAGAACGAACGCAACCAAGCCGGTTCAAAGCCGTCCGCGATAATTTCTCCTTCCAATTCCGACGTTTAAATCAAAATGAGAGTATATATTATGAACGTTTTATTTAATCGATACGTGTAATGTTTTTTGTGATTCCATTTACATGTTTTAAGTACCAGATAAAATAGGGTTTATAATATAAGATGAGATATTTTATTCGAGAGGAAATTTTCAAACGCTATAAGTAATTATATTCCTTTGGCATGAACATCGTTGAATCTTCAAACCATCTATTCGGATTTCACGTCCGTGGAGTCAGTTTTCACTTCAATAACAAAATATATTAAATGTTTTGTCCCACACTTTACCTAATCTTAGGACATATATAGCGAGACACCATGGATTTTTCCTTTTGTTTTGTTTTTTCATGAGAGATCCAAAAATGAATATGTTCTCAAAACTATATAATCTCAATTTATCCTCAGATTATTTTTCATTGGTTGGATTCGATTCTTCAGATTCCGAATCTTTCTTTCCC